ATTCTGCAGTGAAGTGTGCAGGGTTACACACTGACACGCCAGTTTTCTCTGCACGCCGAGCGGGGCGAGTGGAGGGTAAAGGACAACATGTAAGGAAGTATGTCAGGGTCTCTGTTGTAGTTCCATTTTCATCACTCTATGTTCAATAAAATCCTCACAGCTCACTAAAACAGAGGAGTTTCATCTGTTGTTTGGACAGAAAAATATGAAAATACTGAAAAATGTCTCTACTCATTTGTCCTCTCCCTGGTTTTTGGCATTTTCGTCGCCCCGCGCTGGTTTTTTGGAGTCAGACATGATCATATTTGGATGCAAGGATGGAGCTGAGAGGAGGAAAGGTCGAGTTATCAGAGCTATACGGTTTGTGCCTGCGGCTGATTCCCCACCTTGAAAACTAATGAGTAAAAATTAGTTTTCATCTGGAGAATTGACTGCTGCTGTAGATTTTTGGGGGCTCCAGGTTGGGAAAAGTGTAAACCGTGCTCACTTTCATTGTGTTCAGCAATGTGCCGTTTCCATGCAGATGTGTAGCTTATTTCTTGTTTTATAGCAGTAATAACAGATTTGACTCAGACCCATGCTGATGGGTAAAACATATGACAAACTACAGCCCTGTTTCTACTAGGAGTGGGAATTACTAGTGTCCCCATGATACGATATTAGTGCGAGATTTTACATTTTGTAATACAGTGAGTATTGTGATACATTATACTGCGATTCATACAATTTTTCCAACTGTTTAGCTCGTTTAGCATTTGTCTTTCCTTTACGTTTGTCTAATTTACGCAGTATTTTATTTTCATGAGGCACATCTCGCAAACCTAATGTACCAGGTCCATTTCATTTGTGCCCTACTTGCATTTCTTATGTCTTTTCCCAGGTGCTGATTGGTAAAAAATCAATACTTGGTCAACGAGATGATATGATGTATCAACAGACAAGATATCGCCATAATGTGCTGTATCGATTTTTTCTCCCGCTCCTAGTTTCTATGGCAACTCTGCTTGGAAATCGCATCGCTGCTGCCCAGAAACATTGTGCCGCCATCTTTGTTGACCTTTCTCCGGCCTTGACACCGTGGATAACCTGATTCTTAAACATTTTAGTCAATAACAGTTTGTAGTTTACAGACTTTAAATGGTGTTAGAATGACTCGTCTGGTACTTAAGGTTTCAACAGTAACTACAGGTGTGCCACAAGGGTCTATCTTAGGTACTTGTTTTTGAAGACAAATATAAAAAAAACTGCGATGCTGTTTTTATGCAGATGACACAATTTTGTTTCACATAACAGATTCTGCTAAGTGATCTGTTTATGACCTACAATCTTTAAGGTTTTACAATCTGCTTTTAATCATTTTAAACTAGTTTTAAATGCTTACAGAACAAAATTTATGTTATGATGTTGGTTACTGTTAAAACTTTAGCATGTCTTTTTTTGCAAGGAATCGATACTGAAAGAGTTAAAGTTGAAGTACCTCAGTTTATGGATGGATGAATAAATCAGTTTCTTTTATAAACACAAATCTAACTGTTCGATGTTCTGCAGGAAATTGATTGTTGAAGCTCTTTTTTATTTCTGTTTTCAATTGCAAAGATGTGATTTACATCCTGAAAACTACCAACGTGCCTCTGATTTCTCCTCACTTCATCTCCTGGACTGTATCAGACACAGACCTATAACTGCGTTTGGAGTTTTCGAATACTCAGATTTAAGTTCTTACACGACACCCACTCAGACTTTAAAAATAAAGACTTTGGTGTTTTCCAATCCTCGATCAAGACTTAAACTACTTCTCTTTGCACTCGTTTTATATCTTGTGATTTATTGTGTATTTTCTGGCCAGTTTCTTTTCTTGCTCGACATCACTGTGAATTATCTTCAGGCTTAAAAAATGGCAATAATTTCAGGCTTACAATAATGCAAACTAACTCTAAATCTACAAGTATTCTGGCGCCGGCTTATGATTGTAAAGTTGAGGAAACACGCACATCCCTTGTTGATTTATTTTGATGTTGTGTAGCTGCATGAACTCCACGGTTAAACACAACTCATTTAGCAACATTGTCAAACTGCCTGAGCCTGGGGAAAGCGCTAACAGCAACAACGAGCTGATAGAAATGATTAAAATGACACCAAACACCACTTTTCAAGCTCCCCATCACAATGTCACAGCCTCTCTGCAAGATGCAACTCACAAAACACCTTAAACTGCAACACACAGGCGCTTCTCCTCCTCCTCTGCCGTTCATTGGCTCGTTTATTCCTGCGTGCGGGAAAAAGACATTAAACAAAGTTGTCTGAAAAAGTTTGGGAGGCGAGCTGTCCGAATGGGAACAGACAGTGACATTAATGGAGGGAGGCTAGAGCGTCTGCAGTCAGTCCATGCCAGCCGTCCCCCCCTGTCTCCAGGCTAAACGTCTCTTGTCACAGCTGACAAGTTCTGCAATTGATTAAGTCAGTCTTGCTGACAGGAAGACACAAGGTCACAATTATGATGAATGCGCTGTTTATTCTTTTTGATAATGTGGAAACTTAGCAAAAAACAGTAAATTCACTTTCTTGGCGAGTTCATATTAATTTGGACAGTCGATACTTTCTGCTGAGTAGATGCAAAATTAATTTCTGTGACATTCACTCGGATGAGTCCGAGACAGTCCGCTGAACACTGCAACAACTTTTCCCACCGGCTGCAGCAAAAGGAAAGAAAATTCAATTTCTGGAGCTGAATCAGTTTATTCATCGCACCATCCCACTGTGCATCTATCAGTTCACCAATCTATTAATGTAGCCTGTCAGATCTGAGCTTAGGTCCTCCTCACCTTCAGCGTCTGCTCGCCTCAATATCTCCCATCCCTGCAGCTCTTCACGGCTCAGTACTCTCTGCTCTAATATATATGACCGATCCTTTCAGAAGCCAATTCAGGAGCTAACCACCACATTCCGGACTTCTATCAGGTCCTGATAACGTGAGGTTTGACCATCTGTCAGCGCTGTGACTGTCGCCTATAAACTTCACGCTCTGTCTTTTTATTCATCTGTTTCTCCGAGGAGAGATGCAGCCGGCGCCTGAGAGCTGGAGGCGGAATCAGAGAGGAGAGAGAAATCAATTACTGCCTTTGCCTCTGCCTAAAACAAGCCGTGTCGGAGACCATCTACAAAGGGGAGGACAAAAAGGGGGCTGGTGGCCTCTCAAAGTCCCAAACCTCAGGAGATGTGGGCGGAGAGCATCCTGTCACGAGCCCTGACACGCGCCCGTCACTGCCACCGGCACAAAATAGGCCCCTGTCACACCTCAAAATGGGATCCAGCCACTTCATGTGCAATCAGGCCAACATCAGTGATTGATGACCACCAAGAGGAATATGAGGGAAGACAGCAGAGAAGCAGCCAAGGCAGAAAAGTGAAACAATTTTAAGGAGTAACCTTTACAAAGCCAATGCAATTTAGAGTCTATAATAGTTTATATTGAATGAAACTTTCTCAGATTGGAAAAGTGAGCCGGACCTTAAGCTGCTTCGATTGAGGTAAAAGAATAATCTGCTGTCATACGAGAAATAAACCTGCTTTTCTGTGACCTATGTGAGTGACCTATCGCCCTGACGCCGTGTCAGCTGTGTTTCACTTCAACATCTGTCTCAGATTCGTGACGTAAATGACCTTTTTTTTGTTCTGAGACGACATTAAAAAAAAAAAAAGGCTAAAATTTAAATGACTGGTTCTTTGTTTTACAGTTGAAGCTGGTAACTTATGGGACACAATAATTCATGTTTTCCTTGTTGAAAGTTTGGAAAAGGATCCAAATATCTGAATTTTGGGCACCAGCTGAGCAAAGAGAGAGGCACAGCGATGGCGGCAAAGGACTTATTTTCCAACCAAAGCTCATTTAATCTAATTTCGGCCAGCCCTTCTGAGCAAAAAGGGAACGTGAAGAAGAAAATCTCATATACTTGACTTTTGTCTTAACATTGAAACATACAGGTATTTGTAATTCTAACTTAAGCTGTAGAAAAGTAAGTTTTATTCTCTTATTCATTGATTATACAGAACCGAACATGTTGATGAACATGTACATGAACATCTGGAGCCCTGACGTGCAAGTTAGGCAAGTGTCTTGGCGACAATACTCACTAAAACACGACCGCTTTTGTCCACAGTGGCCACTAAAATCAACAGACAATAAAAAGTCATTCCAGCTGCTTGAAATTGAACATTTTCGCCTTATCTTGACCAAAGTGCTTCCAAGCTTTGGAGGTTTTTAAGCGCATACTCATAGCTGCCATATGGGACGCCGGCGCCGCCATGTTTGAATACCCTACCTCTCAGCGGAGACACTACTGTGCATGTGAGACTCCAGGCAGCGATCGTAATGAAGTAAGATGCATCACTCCACTGGAAAAAACACATCTGGGGACAATATTTTTTCATTATCTATTTTCGTTGATGACATGGACTAAAGCCCTGCTTGTATTTCGGTCCAGAATATATGGAGGTATAAACTCCAGCACAGACCGGCACAGACTCTGTGATCAGGAGGTTTGATTCCTGAGTGTTTTCCCTCCAAAAGACCGACAACAATCAGAGAAATAGTCCCTTAAAGCTACCTCACTCCAGAACAGGCACCTGAAAACCTGACTTTAGTTCAGCAGTGAAGTATTTCTGCCTTCTTACATCCTACTGCTGAGTTTTAGGCGGTGAAAGAACAGGATTACAAAGAGCCGTCAACGCTAGAGTCCAGCCGGCGAGATAAAACCTCGGTAACACACTGCTTTATTTTCTGCAGCCCTCTGGTCCAAACCAGCTGGTGAGGCCAGAGACAAAACACAGCATCTGGCAGGGGAGGCCGTGGAGCCCTCGTCGCTGTGTGCACGTGTGTTTGTGTCTTAGTGTGTGTGGATGAAGCAGCACGGATGTGCACAGTGTCTGCAGTGAGAAGACGTGTCACAAACCGCTGCTTCCATCCAAACCTCGGGGACGGTGTGCCCATCAGCTTGGCGTGATTACGGGCGTGGGAGCGGCTCTGATTGTGGGATGTTGGAGCGTGAAGCCACCAGAGAGGAGAAGCGAGGGACAAGGCCGAGGCAGAGGAACGGAGGGGAAGCCCAGCTGGCGGCTGCTTCTAATTGGGCTGAGCGGGTTTCCATGGCTGACCAGACCCATATGCAGTGCAGATCTAAACAGAGAGAGAGAGAGAGAGAGAGCTGCAACCAAAGTAGCAGGGCAGGCCAAGCTGTGAGGGTGAAGGGTGGAGGGTGGGGGCGGTGTTAGCGGGCAGGCGTGCGGGCGAGAGGCCGTCACACTCCAGCAGTCACAGCCTCTTTGTGACAGGGGGGCAGAGAGGGCCAGCTGTCACCCCCTGACGTGAACACACACTCACACACACTCCTTCATGTGAACTGATAACACAGGCTGAGTGAACACAAGAAAACAGAGGGATGCAAAAAAAAAAGATGACGCAAATTCATCCATCAGTGATCCAGAGATCAGAGCGAGGAGAGAAGAGACACTGAGAATGACGCTGACGTCACCAGGCGCTCGGTCAAACCTCAGATTTGGCGTTACTTCTTCTCTGCAGCCAGAAATAAACGTAATCGGACAACAAGGTAAAGCTAAAGAGGAGCAAAGGGTTCGAGAACACTAAAGCCACTTTCACACATGCACCGTACTCACATGAGGCGCATGAGTGAAAGAAAATCCTCAAATCTGTTCACACCAGCTTTATTCAAACTCTTCCCCGCGAGAGAAAAATGTCTGCATAAAAACGGAGACAGCTAAAGAGCAAAGTGCATATTGAGATAGCGCATTAATGTAGTGTCGTGTGTTAATGTGCCAAAGTGAATGTATTGAATGCATTCATATTTCAGCGGACGGTGAACCAAACGGCTCAATTTGCAATTCATGAACACGAGCATGAGCGTAGTTCACTGAGGAGACGGTGGAGAGGTTTCAAGGGCTGCTGAGGAGAACCGAGCGCTGTCAGGACCACGGGACCCGGCCAGCCACTCAGACGTGGTTTTTGGAGCAGTTTCATGAACAAACCAGGACAGATTACCACTTTGAGAACGGAGAATAATTCAGTTTGTTCAGTTTCTTTGCTCTGAGCGCTCTCCTCCACATCGCAATCTTCTAAACTTATTGTGGTTATTCAGTTGTTAACATCAGAACCATTAGCCAAATATTCTGTCATCAAAACGATCAATTAATTGCACTGAAAATGTGATTGAGTCTCCGCTGTCCATGCACTTACTCTCATATGTACATAGTTTTGTACAACAGCCAAGAACGACCGCAGATTTTTCTTCTTTCAAAGTTTGTTTTCTTGACTTATCGATGAAACAAAGTTCGCCCTCCAGATGAGGATATTTCTAAAACGCCGCAGCGACCATTCTCAACAGCAGGTCCAAGTTTTCAACGAAAACGCTCCATTTTAGGCATTACACTTTCAACATGGGAACATTAACTGCCGTGCGCGAATCGTTGAAAGTGTAATGCCCAAACGCTAAATGGTGCGTGCCGTCAGCATTTTCATAGAAAACCCTGATTTGATGTTGAGAACGGTGGCTGCGGTGTTTCAGAAATATCTTAAAGTTACCGTGGAGATTGGCTGAAACGCCATTTCCATTATCATGAGAAAACGAACTTTGTTATATCGAGATAACAAGATAATAAGTCGTTATCAAGAGATAACAGTGCATAAAAAAAGAGAAAAATCCATGGCCGTTCTTGACTTCCATAGTTTTGGACGCAAGTATCCACTAAATAATAACAGTAAAAGTCTCGCCAGACTAAAACACTCTTGAGGAAGGGTTTGTAACGCCTCTACTAAAAGTTGCTGTGGTCGACGACGAAGGATTCAGAAGGTTAGTAAACACACTGGAGCAAAAGTATATATCTTCATCACAGCCGTACTTCAGTAAAACACTGCTAACAGTTGCTAAAGTCACACAGAAATCAGTCCCCTCACTCCAGCTGGGTCACTCAGATATCTTCATTTGTATTTCACTTCAATTTCAGGATGAATATTTTACTCTGGAATTATTCTAATATCATCGTAGATTAGATTCCATCATATCCTCAGAGGTCTGGCTTTTTAACATGGGGTTAAACAGGGGTCGACTCCCTTTAAGAACCAGGCTCAACTGGCCACTGGAGGAACTGCACTTTTTATTTCTCATCTTATTTCTCAACCAAAGAGGTCATCTCTGAAATAAATAAATAACCTGACAGAGTACAAACTGAGGTGTTTTGTATTCTCCCTGTTCGGTATCTGCTGTCCGCCATTGGAAACAATTAGAAGTGATTAAAACGGAGGTGAGCCGACAAGGAGAGTGCAGGTCCACCTCCACCTCACCCCCCCCGGCTCCTCACCAGGCCTGTTAGATGGGGGTGTTAGTGCGTGTCATGCTCAGGGGGGTGCATCGATTCACTTCACTCTCTGGGCACTATTAATTAATGATCTGCTCTCTGTATCCTACAGTGGCTGGCTGTCACGCTTTACTCTCCTCCCTAACTTCTCTCTCTCTCAACCCTCCCGAGGCTCCTTCTTCTTCTCCTTTTTCTTCTTCTCCTTCTTCTTCTTCTTCTTCTACTTCTACGTCCTCTTTTTATTTCACAAAGACATAACACAACAACACGGGCGCTCTTAGAACATAAACGCTGACACGAACAATAAATGTACCAATAAGGATTATAATATGGAAACAGAATATATGTTTACATGCAACATAAATTCTTGGAGCGTCATTCATAGGCCTTTGTTTTTATTTATTCATTCCCTTTACAACCCGGCAGATGTCTGGAGGGCAGACCACAATCCTGTTTATGAGGAAAGAGAGAGGAAGAGGAGGAGGAGGAAGGTAGGACGTCAAACCTGAGGTTCGGCTCATGGCTCACTGCTGCCCCCTAGTGTCGTTCCCGTTCCCTCAGAGCAGCAGAAATCCAGTCAGAAGTGCAGAAAGTGTTGTTTTTTTCATCTCCTCTCACAGCCTGCAGGCTTGTGTCTGATTTCCCTGCTTTAAATATTTCCACAGCAGAAATACACAATCAGAAAAACATGCATTAAAGCAGTAAGAGTAGGATATTTCCTCTGATGTTTGCTCTGTTTGACATTTTCATTGTGATTTTGTTTAAATGTCAATAAACCGCAGAATAATGTGAGCTGTTCCTCCAGAAACTTACTCATCTGAGTCGCCTGTTTTCCATTTAACTCGAGCCCGCTCACCGGGACTTGTTGGCGTTGGACTCGGAGCGATCGGACCGGCTGCAGGGCTCTCCGGGGGCCTGAAATAGACAGTAAAGTAAGCCATGAGAAAAATCAGATCACCTTGAATTTGCATAAACAGCCTTCAAACGGCTGCACAGAGGGTGTAAGTGTTCGCTGTCCGCCTGCATAATTCCCAGCCGTGGATTAGTATCGAGTTCGCTCAGGTCATTTAACACTTAAGACAGTCTCCGGGGAGCCTGTTCATGTTGGACAAATTGTTTTGCTTTTACAGCAGCTCTGCACCGCACAGGGGTGTTAGAGGACTTCTGAGGAGTAATTTGCCGCCTGTAGCGAGGGACACTTTGCGCCCTGTTCCCTCCATTCAGAAAGTGGGGCCGTATCAAAAACACAGACTGGAAACAGGGGGAACATCTGCACCAATTACATGGAAATAGTCTCAGTCCACGGTGGGGTCCTGCAGCTGGGCTAAAGACACCGAATAATGAGGCATCCTCTTCCCTGAACAGTCAGAGGAAATATGGAGCACAGAACTTGGTGAACCAGCAGCGAAACTTTGCAAAGGTGGACAGAGAGTGTGAAGTTATGAAGGGAAGCAGAAGGTTATCGAGAAACTGAAGGAGTGTGTGTGCGTGAGTGTGACCTAGAGAAAATTGCTTTTGTTGGCTCGGGGTCAGTTGAGTCTGACTCTGAAGAAGAGAGCAGATTTAGACATCCCTGCAGCGTTGAGCCGAGTGGGAATCACAGGGTGTAAACATCCTCTCTGATACACATGGCACACACATGGAGGACACATGAGAGGGTCAGGCATGTGCTGGTCTACTTTTCTAGTAGAAACTCTTATTACACTTCCTGGAAAGGTTTTCAGTCTCACTTTCACCAGGTGAAGCTGCACTCTGAAAAGGGATTATTATTATTCCTGCAGAGGCTGTTGAAGACGACCTCATATTAGGTTTTAAGGCATGTCGGTGGAATAGACAGTTTTGTCTTTTTTGTGTCCCGTCTTTTTTGGTTGAGGTTAAATTGTGTAATTATTATCGTCACTCCACGACTAAAATGAATCAATAGAAGAGCTGAGCTTCAACGTGGACGTGATCCCTGAGAGCTGAGTCTTTCAATGTTTTCTTAGAGGTAGACTGGGACTCTGCAGACCTCATAGAGTTTGGTAATTCATCCCAGAACTGAGGGTGAAGAGAGGAGAGGAGTCTGGAGGGACTTAGAGCCCTGTTATGATGGGAGCAGTAAGGTTACTGCGCTCTGGAGTATCTACAGAGGCTTCGAGGTCTGCCAGTAAGGAGTTGCAGTAGTCTGGGCCTGGACCAAGACCTGTGTTAGGTTCTCAGACAGGTAGGGTCTGATCCTCTGATGTTATAGAGGGTAAATCTGCTGAACTGAGCAATCGAGACGACATGAACCTCAAAGGTTAGTTGGTCACTGACTCAGTGGGAATAATCTGGTTCAATCCGAGCTGGATCTTGAGGTTGTAAGGAGGGACTGGATGGAATGATAAGGAGATCAGTTCTGGACAGGTTGAACTGAAGGTGGTGTTTGTTCTTCATCGTTCACAAATATCACAGAAACATGATGAGATCCAGGCTGAGACAGTTGTGTCATCTGGTGTACAGAAAAGGAGGGGACCAAACACTGAGCTTTGAGGTACCCCATGATTTGATGGTTCCCTCTACACACTGATGCAGATAAACTTCCAGGAGAAGACCCCTGTGTCTGAATGTTTCAGCTGGTTTGAGTCTATAAAAACAGTCCTCACCCACTGAGTATTTTTTGGTCTTAAAGAGTTCTAATAGACGTCTAAATGTAGTCTAGACGACGATCTAAAATCAGTCTACCACAGGTCTAAAAATGAAAGTTTTCAGACGAGTTTGGACTAGCCAGCTAACAGAGGTCTACCAGTATTTTGCTCAACGGCTATCATAATTATTTTGGTTTAGTACTTTGAGATCATTTGAAAATAAATACTTATTGAATAGCGTGTTAAAGTGCAATGTCTAAATTCCGTCTACAGATATACAGAATCTAGACGGTTGAAATTAGGTCTAAAAAATAACTACATGTCTAATAGCAGTTTATTGCTCAGTGGGCAACTACATCATTCCCGTTGGGCCATGTTAGACCAACTATGAGAAATTCAATCTAGTGCCAGTTCACTCAGACTAACATGTTTCCATGTATCTTTAAAGTCCACTTTCAAACTAATGCAATAAATCTGTTCTCTGAGAGTGTGAATACACCGAGCTGAAATGAAGGTTTTCACAGATGCCAGAAACAGATAAATACAGAGTGACTTCAGCTGCAAATCGTGCAAAGCTGCTCCATAGGTGTCCCAGACTGACATAATGAAAGGTGAGAATGAGTATTATCGCTCTCCTTTAAAACAAAATGCATCCCCCACTGAATACGGCATGACTGCAGAATAGATTTGTTGATACCTAATTATGCATTTCCAATGTAATTTCCAACACAGCAAAGGCTGGAGTAACACTTAACTTCTGGAGCTTGATTAATGGCACCCTGCTGGAAGCCTAGAAATAGGAGGTGTGGAGAAGGAGCTCACATCGGCAGCATCAGCAGTCTGCAGCCGCTCCTTCTGTCAGCGCCCTCACCCGCTTCCCATAAAAGTAAAATGCAGCAGGTTTGGAAAACAGCCTTGTCCTGTTTGTCAGAGGACTTGTCGTAAATATGTTTGTGCAGCCCCAGAGGAGGAGGCTGTGGTGATCGCACTCATCACCACTGTGACACTTCATCTGCTGCTGCCAGAGACACTTAGAGCAAAGGATTGTTGGAGATTGTGCAAATTTGCAGCAGCACGAGGTGATAATCATTTTCTTCCAGCGTTGTTTACAGATAATCCTCCTCTTCGTTGAGTTTATCTTCACATGAATCATTATTAAATATAAATTCTGGATATTTGTGGTCTTAATGCGGAGAAATTACAAACTAATTCCTCTGAAGTACAAGCAGTCGGCATCACATGACGTTATTTCACAGCTGAGAGATGAAGTGCTTTATTACAGATCACATATTTGATACATTACCTCTATTTCTGTTGGATGTATAATTCAGCAGCTTACTCATCTTTGTTGTTATACTCTGGTTTCATCATTTGTTTCAATTACAGCTGGCTTCAAACCATGGCAGAGATTTATCAGGCCTGCTGCAGTCTGTTGGTTGGAAGTTGATTGCTTGATTACCCTCAAAGAGTCTTTCACATTTGGGTTAACTGTTTCCATATTCGGCCCGGGCACAAAAAAACTCAGATTATATAATAACAGCTGGAGTTATTTCTGAGTCTGTCTTATTTGGTTAGAAGTTTGGACACAGATAGAAAATTATAAACGTACTGCCTTACTAATTAAAATGTAAATAAAATGAACGGATTATCAGATTAAAATCCACTCAATTAAACTCTGGGAAAGAAGACGTAACTCATATTTAGAGCGAGGAAATTTCTATTTTCACTCACTGCTATAATGTCTGATGCTTCTTTATGGGGCGTTCACACCGAGCACGGGTAAAATCATTCACACGAATTAATTTCATGGAAAGTCAATGCAAAGACCTGATTGGATGCTTGTATTACTCTGGCGGCACAAATGGGACGAAATGAATTCACGAAAATGGAAAACGTTGCGCTCAAAAGTAAAGGGCAAAAAAATTAGGAAAAATTATAATTTTTTTTAAAGTGTTAGGGTTACGTTAGGATGTAGGGGGTTTAACCACAATCACCAACCAGTGATCCTCTGCGATCCTCAAGGGAACAAGATAGAGATCTAGGACCAAGACCAAACCACCCTGTTTCATGTCCCAGAGTTCACTGGTACCAGAATGAAGACTTTAACACACCTGCATTCAAAAGCTTTGGGCAATTAAAAAACTCCCCATTCAAGTGAATGGGATTGTCTGGGGCGGCTAGCCTCTATAGCAAGATCGGGCACGGTTTTTCGAATTGTTTAGGTTGAGGTTTTGCCTGATTTTGGAGTCTTTGAGATAACCATGACCAGGATGAATGAGAATCTACAGGGACAGTTAGGGTTTGAGGTTAGGGTTAGAAGTATAGGGGTTTTAACCGCAATCGTCCAAGGGGCGACCCTCAACAGAACAAGATAAAGATCTGGGACCAAGACCAAACCACCTCATTTCTCACATTAATGAAGTTATAGGATAACAGCATCTAGACTTTGAAGCGCAAACAGATGATGATGAGGATGACCTGGATGTGCCCGGTCTTTGATTAATGGTGAGGAGGGGGCTTTAGAAAATACCTTTGAGTTAGTGCTTCATACCGAAGTCCACTTCACACTCTCCAGAGGACCTACATATGTTTTTTTTGAGCACCGACATCGTTTTTTAATAAAATCTATTAATTATCCATCGTATTAATTTAACTCACTGGTAATTTACATGTTCACTAATTTTCCATATATTCTGTGTAGTTTTTAAATGTTGCTAAAGGGGCGTTTTAGAGCTGCAGTGAAACAGACATATTTTTTCTTGAGGTTATCGCAGCATCAGTTTGTCATACTGGCTCCATATCTAATATGAATAAGTAATATTACATGTACACACAGACACACATATATGTAACATCTATATTGACTGTATTAACTCTGCAGGCAGCCTTGTCAATAATGTGCACGTCACTTTCAATGATTATGTGATTTCTCCTTCCTCTGTGACTGCATGTATTTATATCTAGGACAGTCACGAGGAGTGTTTAATATAAACTCTGTTATAATGTACAGAATAATGTCATTTTATGATGTTCTGGCATAAATATCTTTAATATTCTGAAACCTGTAGAATAACACGACATATCTATGACCTGAACTAAAACAAAATCCATCTGGGTCACGTTTCTATCCAAAATAAACATGCACTTTAGACTGCAATATACTTGGAATAATGGATGTTATTCAATTTTTATATTCCATACAAAATAAATGTGGTATTGGCATCATATATCCGCCATCAGTTACTCTGCTCTCTAGTTATTGGCTTTGGAAACAGTCATTTAAAGACTGATACCAGTTGACTACTAATAAGAGGCTGAAGAGGGAGAGTCATTTTAAAAACAACAGTAAAGACATCTGCACAGTGCATATGTGCAAATGCATGACCTGTCATTAAAGCGTGAAGATTGCACAATGACTTTCACTGCATGCTTTTGCTCTCACACACAAGAGTCAAGTTATCGTTCCAGATTTAATAGACTCTGAGCGGCTTTTGCACGAGTATAGCTCCTGAAAACTGCTCCTTTATGTTCTAGTGGGAATATTCCTGGTGTTATAAAAACTGCATGTAGAAAAATTCAACTTCTGACAGTCACCCACACCTTTAATCACCGCCTTTGTTGTTTCTGACTGAACTTTCATTAATTAGAGTCGGGGCGTTTTGCACAAACATAAAGGTAAATGCAAAAAAAGAAGAAACAAATCAGCTGTCAAGGAGGCTAATTATTTTATGGTGAACATTTACAGAGCACGCCTCAGATTCCTCCACGAGTTTATTTTTCAGCACCCAGGAAGCCTTTTATGCAGACACTCATGAATATTTGAAGTTCCATTTCTTTCAGTAAGTTGTATAGAAGTCTTAAGAAAATCATGTAAAAGCAAACGCACTCAGAGCAGCTCTTCATCTGTGAGACCTGCTGCACGGCACCTCCATCATCTTTTATTACAACATAATCAGAAACCCAGCCTCAGAGGAGTGAAGTGCCCTGCTGCCTGTAGCGGAAATATGAACTGAGCTGCTTTTTAGAGGTATCGGCTTCTGAGATGTGCGTTCAATCTGTGAGCTGAAGAATAACTCAGAAGCAGGCGCACGGGCGAGTTATTAAGAGACTAATTAGCAGAGAGCGTCGCTGAAACAAACTTTTTCATGGGAGTTTTTGTGCCCCGGAGCGGTGTGGAAGAGATACTTGAATATCTAAAATCAAAGTTTTACTTTGAAACTTTATTTTTTCTTTACGACTCCTTTACTTTCCACAAAAACACCTCCACCACCAAAAGCCTTATTTCTATAGCTCTCTCTATCCATTATCCTGTTTGATCATCTTCATACCATCACATCAAACTCGCTCAAACCCTCGGTCCTTTTTCTCATGTAAGAAGACTCACTTACTGCGTTTGAGGGATTTCATTTGGACCAATCAGAAGCTTTCCAGCAACCTAATCCCGTCTCAGTCACTATAACTATATTTCTTAAAATTCAGATGGAGGTATCGTCTCAAATATGAAATCAATGCATCAGCGAGATGGGGGTCGCCATATTGGAAATGCAACTCTTGTTGACTTCCTGCGACTAAAGGAACCAGCAAAGAGGTGAAGCTGAGAAACTGAAGGATGTTCAAACCTGCTTCTAATGGGAACCATGATGAGGTTTCCTCAGTTTATTGACGGTATATGAATATAGATTATACAGCTCCTCCTCCCATCTACTGTAAATAAATGGCGTCTAAAGAGCACCTCAGTCAGGTCTGTTTTTAGGTCCATGATTTCCACAAAGATCCTCAGATTGTGATTTACCAGACTCAATAAATGTTTGCGAATAACTTCCTTAACTCATTCACTGCCAGGTTCATTTATGCAATTTTCAGCCAGTACCACCATTGACCGCAATAGAAATGACTATATCTTTCAGGATTTAAGTGCAATATCTCAAAAGAAAGAGGTGATTCTCTTCTTTCACCAGAAAAAAAAGTTAGTCTCTAACCCACTCCTGTGTTTAGTTATTTCCTGCTCAGTGGAGCGTGGTCACATCATCTTAGCCGATCTGGAAAAACACATTTTTACGAAGAGAGACTTTCAAGCAGAACTCTGATCGTCTATTTCATGTCACTTCAAACTACTTAACCGGTGACATCAAGGTCCTCCCTCCTCGGACACCACTCAGATCCAACTGTGATAGGTCACATATGACAGCTGGGAGTCGGATTGGCTCTTGAGAACCTGACGCCGTGACAGCCCACGTCCTCCTTGCTGGGACTGTCGCTGAATTCCAGCTCAGTCTCGCTCACCGGCACCAGCAGCACAACGACACGGCGGGAAAAATGTTTCTTCGATTGTCTGCTGATGATGTGAAGGTCCAGTACCGGGATCTCCACTGAATCCAGAGACGGTAGCACCGCGCCAACAGGAGCCGATGCGCTGAGACCGTTAGCTCTTGGCTAATGACTTCGGCATTTTCCAACTCTTCTTTTAAAGAAAAACACTCCACAACTCGGCTGAAGGACACACTTGATGGCAGACTTCTAACTGGCAAGTACTTGTTCTTGTTATCGTAACATGGTTATGACGTATTTGTCGGCTTTTCTGCGTTCAGAACGACCCCAAACTTAGTCGCACGTTGGGGAGGAGCGCCCTCTGGTGGTCAAAATCCATCAACGGCACTGAATGAGTTAACACGCAGTTCCTCTTTGGCATCATTTGTCTTATATTTATTGTCTTCCCAGGAACTCTTGAAGCTCTTAACTTTCTAAAAAGTGTTAATTTCTCAGTAAACACCCGGGCTGTCTCAGGACTGTTAGCAGGAGTAGACAGGCAGCCTCTTATGGAGGTCCCCGGTACAGTCACAATCAACAGATGGTGAGCACCGCCTCTCCCCCCCCAGGGCGACAGTAAAATTGAGCTTGTGAAATCTGTCACAATCCATGGTGGTAAATGTCTCACAGTTCCTGCAAATGCTAATGAAGCTCATGTGCGGTCCAAGACCGAGCGGGGACGGGCATGGAGAGACAGAGTCCAATTTAAAAATGACACTGTGTGACAAACCCGTGCTTCTGGAGGGCAGAGACTTTCTCTGGCCCGCGGACAGACATTCACAAATGAGCGCCGCTCAGAGATGCCAGTGACATTCAGGTCGCCATTGTGCCCGTCTCCTTTGAGATTCCCCCCGACACGTTCCATCAGAGGCCGGGAAAAAACCTGCCAAAGCTGGCAAACACTCGGCGTCATTAGATGGGAATATGGTGATGAAGATAATTACGTTCTGCTGCTTTTGAGTGAAACGAATATAAAACAGTGGGACGCACAGAGTGGACGTTTAAAAGAGCTCCACTCAGCTGGACTTTCACTTGAAAAAGTGCCCTTGACATGGAGCCATCAAAGAGAGATGTGAGTTTGGTTTTTAATGAACATGTCCAGAAGCCCCACTGGTCCACAACACACACACACACACTAATACACACACACACTAATACACACACGCTAACAAACACACTCTGTCTGCACCTTTGAAAGTGTACGACAGCATTTCAGATCTATTGTTGCACATCCCTCTCTGTTGTGATTGATTAACCTTTCCGCGAGTGTGTATGTGTGTGTGCGTGTGTTTGTGTAATGTGTGTGTGTGTGTGTGTTCGTGTGTTCCTCCACACCAAACAATTTCCTTTACCTAGCTGCTGCTGGCTGGACAGACCTAATTGGCAGCGGTGTATTTGGGGGGTGGGGATGTGTCAGTCTAAAAAGATGTCACAGCTCTGCCCTCTGCGATGCTCCTGGCACACAAAAATCTCATAAACCGCTCGCTCCTCTGCCCTTTCTTTGGAGAAATGCATAAAAGATGGATTTACTGGCTGCTCTTTTAAAAGATACGACACGGCGAAGTGTCCTCTGGATGTCCTTCCAGTTAAAAATGTAAAAATACTGAAACCCCTCCAGTGTTTATAAACAGAAAATAGTGATGCCAAGATTCCCAAGATGTTTCGGTGGATATATCTGGAGAAAAGCGCCCTCTGGATGCCCTACCAGTGGAGTTATGAATAAATAGTGCCTTCTCAGGGCCCTCTGGATGACCTATTTATACATATAACATGAGAAATAGCGCCATCTGTGGTAGTGATTAGTTAATTGTGTCTCTGGACGGCCCACTAGTAGTAAAAGCAGAAACTAGTGCCCTCTGGATGCCCTTCTGTTGGATATAAGATCAGAATAATGAGTCCTTTAGATGTCCTTATTTAGATAGCGCCTCTGGATGGCTTACCAGTGAATATTAGTAGAAACAGCGCTCTCAAAATGACCACAAACATCTCTAATGTGAACCAGAAGATGCAAAATTACCGAGTGAAGCTCATTAAGACTGTGAAGCACAGAAACACTGACGACGACGACGAGCACCTTTAGTTCTCTGATAACCAACACCACAGAGCCCAGAATAAACCTGTGAGCACAATCAGCCGAATCTGAGCTCGTTAAAACGACGGAGCGCTCCTGCTGCTGCATCACAGAGGAGGAGGAGGAACAACAAAGCATTTATGTGTTTAAAGGGGGTTCGTTTAACACGACCTGAGCAGGTAGAAACAGCGATTTATACTCGCTTACGATTGTCAGTTCTGGTTTATGTCATTTTTCTGAGGAGGTTTGGCTCGGTCATCTGATTTTAAGAAGTGGCTCTGACATGATTGACAGCTCTGTTGACAAATGTGGCTCCTGGAGGCGGGACTCTCCAGCATGGTTCTACCAGTGTGAACGCTGGCGTCTGTGGAGGTCATCTTCGGCGTCTTATCTCTCAGTGGACAGAAATAAATCGACGTCGTCTGTACGGTATTTTATGCATCAGTATGAAAACTCGCCGTGTGGTTTCTCAAACTTTAAAGTTCCTTTTGATCCTCTCTCCAGATCTGCTGGTCTTTGTCCTAAAGGCTTTGTATTAATACCAGAGTGAATCAGGGAGATTATTTTTTGGCCAAACAAGATGTTTTTCTCTCCCGGATCTCTGAAACTTTTATTTATTGCCAGAAACCTGATTATCCAGGCGAAAACAAAACCTTAAGACTGCGTAGATCGAAAACTGAGACAGTTTCTAATCCAAACATCATCACCAGGACTGAATCTGCGGGGCACAGATTTACCTCTCAAACTTTTAAAAGCCATGATTGAATTCCCACAGGCAGGCAGACATGGACGTAAAAACATTTAGCATTAAGAGAGGAGCCCGGGTCACGTTCTGGAGGTAAACAAGCTTTCCTGGTATGTGCTGTCAATCATGGTGCATATTAAGGCCTGAGCGCCCAGTGGGAAATCACACAGAGTAATGATTAGAGACTCGGAGCCTGTCACTGGGAATGGATATCTGCTGTTAATGTGAAAGTACGTCCCTGAACCAAAGAGTTTATGTCTGTTTAAAACACAAACCAGTCAGGAGGAGCAGATTAGGAGCGATTCGCCATCGAGTCTTACGCACAACCTAAGAAAAAGAGGATTAACGCCAACTCGGTCTTCATTTTTAGGAATTCATGGGCAGCTTGGAGGTCAGTTTCAGTCTGATTCTCCATTTGTCACGTTTTTTTTTAACCATGAAAAACTTTATAGAAACACAAAAACATCCGATCTCACTCTGTCCTCTCGCTCAGCCCCACAGTAACAAACAAAACCTGTTTGGTTCCTGCTAGTTTGTCCAATCTGAGCCTCTGTAGAGAGGAACCTGCTGCTTCTAAAATATAAGAGTTTTTCTACGTCATATAAAATAAAATAAATACAATTTTCCATTAAATATAAACTGCATAATACTGCTACTACATACTGTACCTTTAATATCACTGTGGTGTCATGACCCTAAAACATCGGCATGTTTTAACCCAAGCTGTCAACTTAATGGTTGATTCTCACTGACGTTGGTGTTGGGAATGATCATCAATTAACATTTGTTTAATTTCGATGGAGGTGGCGACCCACATTTATATACGCGGTAAGTTTATGAAATATTTATATGAAAATTTATCGACTCTTTAGTGATGAGGCGTTTTCAGCAGAGCTGTTCGAGGAGTTTATATTCAGGGAACTGTTGAGGCCCTGCAGCCGATTGAACTTTCACCCAGACTGAGTTATTATCATAATAGTTTACCAAGCCTCATAATTGGTTATTTATCGACTCAGAATATTATTACACAATATTCCAGGAACTGTCTATAGAAATGATTTCTCAGGACAAGCTGAACAGGTTCACATGAAGTCAGATTTTCAAAGAAAAACAAACTAAAAAAATCCAGATTTTCAAAGTATTTCATCCTGTTTCGGAGCAGAGATAAAAGTCGACTGAATAAGTGCGTGTACTTCTTCTTCTTCACTGACTGGTATTCCCAGACCTGGATCAGAGCATCAGTCTGCTCCCGGACAGTCGATTCAGGTCTGGGCAGACCGGTCGATAGCATCCGCGTCTTCGTCGTCCAGGAAGTGCTGACACACTCCAACCACATAAAGCCAGGCTTTTGCTGCGTTCAGGTACCTCGGAAGTCGGATGTCGGAGCTGGGAATGACGTTACACCCGAGTTGACGGCGTTCCAGTTAACAAGTCGGAAAACCAAGATGGATGCCTACAGTTAGCCGCTGTTAGCTGTCGTTAGCTGTTGTTAGCTACACCAGTTGTAAACAAAGTATCACACAGTATTTTACACTTACAAATATCACAGCACTGTGTTCACAGTTAGACGTTGGGCAGAACAACATAAACCACTTATGTAATTTCACAAAAACAAAACATAAGTGCTGATAAATAAAATATTATGAGAGCGTTCACTGTTACTCTTTACAGTTGATGCTCTGCGCTGCCATTTTGGATTATGACGTTGTCGTCAAGTCGGGGTTGGTGAGGATTATCCGACTCTCAGAGTTGGAAATCCGACTTCAGGGGGGCCACCTTCAAACTGGTCACGCTGGAAGATGTTTCAGGCAGCAGTTCTCCAGACTCTCTCAGGGCGCCAACGTTGGATCTGCCAATCCAGACCCCTCTTGTGGACGTGGGACCCTCATAACACTCATGTTTGACTGACATGGTTACACTGTGATTATAGTTTAGAGCCAGAATGGAGGACAGGAAAGAGATCTTCAACTAAAGGGTGGAGTGTCCCGGTCATTTTAGTCAATATTAGACCAGCGTAACTTCGATATATCCGTCCATCATTTGTCTACCTCTGCAGGAAGCCACGATACACGGAGGACGACCCGAATGCTAATAAACTGTTGGGAAAAAAGGCGGATAAACAAACTCTTTTCACATCCTGGCGCTTTCATCCTCGATGAAACCTCACCGTCAGGAGGTGTGATAGGTTTCTCGGCTCCAGGCTGAATCTCCATCCTTCGTGCTGCAGCAGACAAGAGGACTGATTGCACCATATTGCCCCTGTAATTTTCTAAGCTGGATGGGGTCACTCAGTCAAGAAAAGGAGCAGACAGTCTTTGGCTCCAAGTACGAGATGTGAATCAGACCCGAGTCCTTTCTCAGAGACGCAACAAAGCTACCCTAACCCCTCCAAAATATAAAGCAGCTCCCAAACAATGAAAATGTCCCGTCCCCGAGTGGACAATGTTGAGTGGCAGAGATAAATCAAATGAGCTATTGTGCGGGAAGACGTTGTGTAGCTAAAGTTCACCTGGACTTCAGGTACAAAGAGTGTATCCTTTCAGAGGTGAGCAGCATGATAAGAGAGGAACAGAGATTCAGGAGAGTCAGAGATCGTGAGGAAGAGGCTGAGAGAAGAGAGAAATGCCAAAGTGAAGAGGAAGGTGGAAAGAGAGAAAACACGACGGGAGATGAGAGGAAGAAAAATATTAGGCATTAGAGAAAGCAGTGAGACGCATCAGACTCTCAATTCTTTGTTTCCCAGAGTTAAAATGCTGAACAGTCACAGAAAATCTGCATTTTTACAGACAAAAGGAAAAAGTTTGTTCAGATTTGCAATCAAAACTCCTTTAAAACGTGATAATAACCAACGATACAACCAAGCAAAAAACACCGTTATCCTCCGTTCTGAAACTTCATCTAAATCTGTAAAAAACAAGAACCAGACGGTGAAAAGTACAAAAATTAAAATGACAAAAGCTTCTGGAAAACCCAAAAACGTCAGACCAGGACAGCCGGACTGTCTTTTCAAACCGCTCCCTCTGAGTGTGTTTTCCAGGCCGGGCGGTTCATTACCGGCTGTTCAATCCTTGATCAGACATTTGACAAGTGATTAATCAGGCGGGCGGCCTCAGAGGAGCGGCTGAAAGTTAATTTCCACACTTCTGCATGCAGAGATGAATTTGAAGCGGGCACGGGCCGGGTCGCCGCCTCAGTCACGCTTTCAGGGTGACCCCTGCCCCTCACATTTACCGGGATTACATACAGGCTGACAGTCCTGTGATTGTCTTCACTACGCTTCTGCACGCCGCGCACATCCGAGCGCTGACGAAGGGTTCGTCTGTGGGATTAAGGATGGCAGGAAGATGAGGAGACAGAGGGTGAAATACAGCATCCTCCTGCAGCAGGTCCAGGTGGGGATCTAAGGACCAGAGACTAAGGACCAGAGACCAAGGACCAGGACCTCAGACCTTCTCTTCTTCACCAATCATCTGATGCCTAGAACAAGTTCTCGCCACCTCTGTTTTTCTTTTCCATCATCATTGGAATGATACGTGTTGGTAAGAAGGACAACTCAAGACAGTAACCCCCAATTTCCACCGCAACTGGAACGGCTACAAAGAGGCCGTATCCGCTGATCGTAACCATTCACTTTAACGTGTCAATTTACACCGACTTCTTTCTGTTCCTCTGCGGATCGCCGGACTCCTCAGCTGATCGCAAGAGTTCTATTTTTCTGGATGGCGGAGCATGCCGGATAAATTCAGCACAGATTAACCCGTGCTGGAAAGGAAGTCGGGCACAGACACAAAATAAAACATCTGGAAACATCCAAACATCCAAATAAAACACTGGATCGTATTTCACACCATGCAAACAGGCGGAGACGAACAAGTGAAAGGTTTTTAGACGTCATTTCACCCCGATGACACCATGGATGAGGAGATGCTGATTCTAGAAGTCTAGAAGTAGATTTCCTCCTCTGGAAGGACACAATCTACTGCATTTTTTGACTAAAACATGAGCTTCTGACTGAAGGTCCAGACCTCCAGGATGCCAAGCCAGCTAAGCAGATCTGCACCTCCTGCAGCAGACGGAGGCAATGGAACAAAAACCAGAAGCCCAGAGTTTTCAGTCAGCGTTTAGATGCTGATGTCTGCCGGCGTGAGAAGAGCAGGTTGAATCCGTGTAGCAACGTTCATCAAAACAGATCCTGATGTTCTGAATGAGAGGTCAAAAAAAGAGACTACCTTAGAGAGAGAAGACAAAGTTCCCTCAAAGACCGGACCGTCCTTCCCGAGAGACAACGTGACTGAAAAAAGAGGCACTCCGAAGAAGACACCCATCTCCAAAACTCTGCTGACTAAGGAGCCGGTCCTTCTGTCACCCACTTCACTCCAAACCTCCAGGTTCATCCATCTCTCTGCAGTCACGCCGGCCCACGAAGGCGGATCCCTCTTGTGGACTTTTCTGCCGAGCTAAGAGTGAGTGCCGGTCTGGAGGAGGACAGACGTGGAACTGCTGCTTCTTCTTCTTCTTCCTCTCTGCAGGTTGAACACGCTGCTTAATGAGCTCCCACCAGAGCCAGGTCTCCCCTTACAGCCGTCAGCCATGACACCTTAGATCTCGTTAGCATTCCCCTCTGGCTCCGTGCTGCATCCATCACCCAGACCCAGGACACTTGTCTGCTGGAGGCTGGCATCCCCTGACCAATCTCCTTCCCTCATATAACCTGCATCTCCAGCCACGCTCCGAGCTTCCCTCCACAGCGACGCAGACATGAGGCCCGGCACTGATTTATGTGAGGAGTCCCTCTCCTGGACATCCCTGGTGTTTACCCCACCCTGCAGCGTGTCAGGGGCGGGATGTTTCACAGGTATGGCCTAGTTTATGCATTATCAGGGTGAAGGAGGAAGGAGAGAAAAAGAGGATATCCCATTTCTTCTTGACCTGATCTGTTCATGTGGTTTCCTGCAGATTAAGTCCTGTCTCTGCATAAATACACAAAAAAACTTTATGTCACCTCCTTAAACTTGTGTCAAATGTTTATGTAAACAAACAAGGTGTTCAAAATGTTATCGTGTGTCCTCAGGTGGACTCTCTACTCTCTAAAACTGAGGATGCAGCATCTATGATTTCCAATTCTTCGTTAAAAGGAGTTGTCCTTTCCATGCAGTGATTTCCACTCCAGAGTCCTCTCTTTTTTTAACGCCCTGAAGATCAGGACCATCCAGTCCTGGTTTTGGTGCTCGTCCTTTTGGTACAGAGAATTCTCAGGAACTTTATTCTGAAACTGTTGAACTGTTAGCTCACGCAGTCCCTCACAGAGTCCTGAACCTCTTCCATCTTTCCTTCTGAGACTCCGCCTCTCTGAATGTCGTTTTTAGACCCAGTCATGTGACTTATGCTGGGCTTCCACCGAACGATATTCACAGTCCCAGACTAAAAGCTGAGAGTCTTGAGTGAATTTTGGAGTTTTGCTGGAGTCACAGTGTGCTCCCATCATCTCAATTGTCTTTTCCAAGTCTTGGGTTTGCTGCAGTGACTTAACACAACCAACAACCAATAGATGATCTCCAACAAAAGCAGAAAAGGAAACCTGACAGTCAAAACAAGAAGATCAAGATACTGGAGATTAAAAAAAGGAGCGGATAGTGAAGCTGTGAGCAGATCAGCCTCGTCTATTTGACTGAAGGGTTTCTCCTACATGTGATGGCGCACCGCCACGACTAAATAAAAGCACCTCAACAGTAACATTTTTTTACGCCCTACCTCAGACTCGATATGTATCAGTACATGCGGTGCACACAGGCTGCACTGCGGGGCGTGCGTGCCAAGTATTAGCATTAGCGAATTCCAAGTTTTCATATGCAAACACACAGCTGATTAAATCCCACACCATCACAGGTAGATTCCCCACCAACGGGAAACACTAAACTGTCAAAAAATGCTAAAACAATCTAGTTGTCGTCTTGTAAATACTCCAAACACTCGTCTTTAGATGTTTCCCAGGAGTCTTTCCAAATCTTCTCAGAGTCGTCTGGTGGATCGCTGGTCTAACTCACTAACTGTCTTGTTACATGTTCTTTCAGGTAGTTAATTTGGCATTGCACACTTACACCACTAAAACAGTCTTTAAATGTCTTATAAACCACAAACTTCTGTTTGTATCAACATTTTCCACAGCGTCCAAACTCTTGCAGAGTTTAGGGTTTTATATGTGCTTCATAAAAACCTGCAGAGGAACGCTCTGAAGTCTAACAAGGTGCAGGGATAAACTAACTCATTCAAAGTTCTCTCACTCCGTCGCACCGTCTGGAAATGAATGCCATTTTCCCTGAAACCCCTACAGGAAGGTGTAATAGGGTTTAAATATGTGCATAATAAACAGACACAACAAGCCGAGGGAGAAAGTATTTCATGCCTCATAAAAATCTGTATTGAACCTGGTTGGAGAGGAGGGGAGCTATTGACATTTGCTCTGTTTCTACAATGACAAAAGGGACCGCTGCTTCAAAAAGCACCTTAGTAAATAAAATCTGCTGAGAAGTCTCTATTATTACGGCTCCTTCAAGACTGTGTTTTAGCCTGATTTGATTTCTTTGAGCTGTTTGCACGTAGAGGGTTTTACATACCGGGCTTTTCTATCTTTGCACAGGTAACATCTTGGCAATTTGGACTCAGCTGTCTGAGCAGACAGCAGATCCATCTGTCTGTAAAAAGGACGGGCTGAAGATGGAAAAATGTAATAATACAGTTCATTTTCTATCAGAAAACATAAACTGTGTCTTGATACGAGGCGTGTGCTCCGTGCAGATGTGTTTATATGCCTGTACTCGCTGCCAGAGTCTTTGTTTTCTGAGCAAATTCAATTATTTGCTTTGCTGTGACTCCGGAGACTTCAAACAGTTTTCAGGCTAAAGAAAAGACGGCAATAACCCCTCAACCCCGGCCTTCACAAAAAACATCCATTAGATTTGAAAAGCAAACAGCCCAAATGGCTGGATGAGATTAGAGCCACTCTAGTAGCTGTGAAATTAAATAGAATCTGTGCATGTTGATTTGAGGATTTACATACAATGCTGAGCACTGGAGAGGGGGGAGCAGAAACCAAATATACAGCTCAGACTGATTTCTGACAGTAAACAGCGGCTTTGGCGGAGCTTTGCGGGTTGCAGCAGGTTGAGGACGGGAAAAAGCAGGAGCACTAAGGCGTTGACGACATCAACCAGAGAAACAGTGTGCAGGTCCTCGCAGCGATTAAAGGATTTCTGCAGATCCCGGGGATCAGTGCGGAGGATGTCCTGTTCTCGGAAATGTTTGTCTGCTCACATGAAGAAACGGAGGAACACTGATCTGGGATTTCCTCTGAGGAGCTGACCACATTTTCCTTTCTGTCACACACGGTGCTCACATGCAGAGGTTTATCGGAGGGATGTTCGTAAACTGGTACACAAACAACAGATCCATTAGCATCACTACAGAGACTCGGCGTGCCTCCCCCGTACTTACCGAGTGCCAGGATCTTCCATCTTTCCCCCCGTTGATCTCCTGATCTGCTCTCTGTTGATGTGGAGCCCTACTGTGTTCCTCTAAAGGTCTTTTGAAGTCCCGGTTGCGTCTGTTCAGGTTTTTTTGGACCTGCTTCCGTCACACCTCCTGCTGGTTGAGCTTCTCTTCTATCCTCCTTCTCACAAAAACGCAGATTTTATGAGTCCTGGGCCCTTTAAACTCGACTCGTAAGGAAACACTTCGAGTTCATTTTGAGGGTTTTAGATAAGAGTCTAACTTACACTTTTGAAGGACTCATAGTGAGAAACCTTTCCGGTGTTTTTGCAGTTCAGAATCACAAAAGATTCACCGATCCAAGCTGGTTACCAATCCGAATGTCCGAGGACCTTGTAGGATTTACCTTTGATTCATTATTGGACTTCATTCATACACAGATATTTTACGATTTTCAAAGAGTGAGAGGAAACTTCAGCTCCTGTCCAGGGAGGACCACAAAAAGGTGACTCCTGTACCGACGCACGGAGGATAAACGGTCCCCCGGAGAAAAACTTTGTTTCCTTGTTTCTTCTCACAAAGTTGATGAAGTTTAGAAAGAATTTTCTCCAATCTAAAGAGCCTGTGCTGCTTCATAGACGGAAATAAACAGCCATGAAAACAAAGTTGACTCGCAAGATATTTACAGTGTGACGTGCATTATGACAACAAATAAAACAAACAGTGAAATGATTCAATTTAAAATTATACACGGCCAGAAGATGAAGATGAACAGAAGTTTGTCTCTTAGACAAAACTTAAATCACTAAAGAACTAAATGACACATCAGTGCTTACATTTTTCAGTAATAAAAGGCAAAAAATACTCTGCATTTAGTTATAATCTGCATTAGTTTGTTTCCATAATGGAGTTAAAGCCTCTAAATGACCGTAAGCAAACACAACCTAACTTTTGGTTACCCAGTAAGACAGACATGCTCAGTCCAGACCTTCAGCCTCCTCGCCAACAGCAACAATACGCCCTCTGATTATGCCGAACAGTAACTTAATATCTTCAAAACTATAAAAATATAACTAAACTCACCCTAAAACCACATAGAAATGAGCTTTTATGACCAGATGTGTTTTTTTAATGGGTGTGTATGCGGCTTCAAGGGCCTGTGCAGCCAGCCTCAAGTGGACACTTGAGGAACTGCAGTTTTAGCTTTTCTGCATTGGCTTTATTTTTTAATGTTGGAAGTTTGTCCTACTTCAGTCACTTCTGTCGACAAAAACAACAACATGGTGGCGACTCAAGCCAACAAACCGTGTTAACTCAGGCCCCAGCTACACGAACGCGGATATACTTCAAACCGCACATATTTATGTCCGATTAGGCCTCCATACCACACCAAAACGGGAGTCTGGAACACTCAAACCGGATAAATCTGAATGAAACAAATGGAGAAATAAAAAAAGAATATCCATATAAGTGGATTCGTGTGGTTGAACTTTTACGGATCGATGACGTCAAACCGCAGCTCAACAACAACGATGGCGGACATACAGGGTTTTCTTTACGTTTGTTTTGCCCTTTTGGGGCTAATTTCAGCCTTGACAGTGAACCTTGTTTTATACAATTACATCCACCAGTCAGACAGCTCACAGAGGCGTCTGCTTTGTTATCGGCCAATCAGGTAGCTTTGTTCCTGATTTTTTTTTAAGCGGCACCAGATAGGATTGAGTTTGAAGGCTACGTGTGGACGCAGATATCTTTGAGAACTAACACGTGTGGACAGAGACATTTATTTAGACGGGAGTACAAAAATATCCTGATAAATAAATATCTATACACGTGTAGTCCGGGCCTTAATGTACGTTTACTGTTTAAACAGTATCTGAGAGTCATACGTGAAAAAGGCAGAGCCTCCAGAAGTAGAAACGTACGATTGTTGGAGCTGCTCTGCGGTCGGTGACAGGAGCTGCTTTAGTGAAGAACTTGGAGTGAAAAGACTTTCTCAGGAGGTTCGGGCTCTTAATAACAGCCTGTCTGTGGTCAGAGGAGGCAAATGGTTAAGTTACCACTTGGCCTTCTGTCCAGAGATGGCAGGCACTGAGAGGATGTCAGATGACGGACTTTCAAAGCTAACTTCGCCATTAAAAGCTGCTTGGGTCAAACAGCAGCTGGCCCGCTCCATCAGCGGGAGCTCTCAGACTCCAGACATGCTGCGTTTGAAAGAGCTGCAATTTAAAGTTGGCTTCGGCGTACTGTCTCTGTTGCACAGTCCATTTATTTAAGAATAGAGCGAACACACAAAGGGCCAACTTTCTCCAGAGGAAAATGAGTGGGACTACTGGGCATAAACTCAATAACAGCAGCACACAACAAAGTGACCCTGCTCCCACAGACTCCTCTCGGCCTCTCTGTCTTGTTTCCAAACAGACGCTCACTTTTAATGGCTCTCAACACTTCATGCTTGAGGGAAAGGCCAGATAAGAAGATCTGCTCCCAGCCAACCTAATCCCTTTTGATATCTAAGATCTTGTTAAGTACAAAGGTATGAAGTGCTGCACATCTTCTTCTTCTTGGTGTCCGAACTCCGCCGCAGAAAAACTCTCTGATCCTCCCGATGTTGCCGATAACTTCCAGGATCCTTTTGTTGCTCTGAAGGACCCCGAAGGCAACTTCAGGTCAGTTCATTGATGTTTCGTGACAGAGCTGAACACAAACCCACGGCCGCCGTTTGAATTTAAATCATTTGCTGTTATTTATCACAGAGGGTTGTTTCTGAAATGATTGTGCACATTCAAAGATCAATCCTGTCCTTGCTGTGAGGGAGGTTTATGCTCAGTGAACAACGGGAGCAAGGATGGAATAAATATGTCTGCAATGAGACATAAAAAAAAAAAAACCCTCCTCACTGCCGGTCCACGGCGCTTGAACAGATAATGGTCCGGAGAGGAAAGTGAGGGAGTTTCAAGGAAAAAGCAAAGATATCAGTTTGAAGCTGTTTTATATTTGAAGGTAATTCAGTCAAGGATCAAGTTTTCTCATTCCCTCTGCAGCAGATCTACTTTACTCACTTTCACCTTTCATTATGTCAGTCTGAGACACCTGTAGAGGCGCTCTGCATGATTCGCAGCTCCAAAAACTCGTCTTACATTCGTGTCCATGAAAACCCTCATTTCAGAGTATTCAGCCTCTGTCTGTTTTTACTGCTTTTCCACTGATAGAAAGTGGGTGTTACTTTTTACACAGCTGACTGAGGTTAGCCAACGGTGGGACAGAGACAGAGAGCGAGCGAGGAGTGACGAGCTTGAATCAAACCGGGGTCGCCTGCTCGAGCCAACCTAGCGACTTTGTCGTTAGATTTAGCGACTTTTCAGACCCCTTTAGTGACTTACAGTAAAAAAGCACAGAGCGACAAATCTAGGGACTTTTTCTGGAGTTTAGAGACTCTAACATGAACGCAGGTATCGATGTTACTCTTCTCAGCGGGTAGCTGGTGTGCATCAAAAACACAGACACATACAGATACCAAGATACAGAGGTTGTTGTCGGCGGTGTGTTTGACTGAGAAATTCTGCAAATTAGACGATGACGTCATCTAGCGCCTTTTCACAACTCTTACAACAGCCACTGACGACTTTCCTGACTGAGAAGTTGGCAACACTGCTCAGTATATGAGACGCACTTTCGACCTCTAGGTCAGAACAACAAGAACATAACCAAGAGAAGCACCTTTCAGACACTAACTGAGTCAACTATTATCAGAAGCAAGGCGCGGTGGCCAAGTGGTAAGGCGTCGGTCTCGTAAACCGAAGATCACGGGTTCGAACCCCGTCCGTGCCTACAGTATGACAAGAGGGGATGAATTTCTTTAAGATGTTCAAATGGCCGAGCACATCAGCTCCCCCATGTCTGGGAATCGTGCCTGTAGTGGTTGTGGGTTTGAGTCCAGACCCAAACATGTGCTGTATGTTCTCACCCATCTCTCTCTATCTCCCCACACTATCCTATCCTAAAAGGCAAAAATCACCCCAACAAAAGACATTATAAGGACATAAAGTCTTGAATTGCAGAGTCATATATTTACAACAGTTGCCCAAATCATCTGTGGTCAGTGTTGAAAACAAACTGTGAAACTCATCTGTTGTTGGTCACAGAAGTCAAATCTGGGCTATCCTCGGCTCCACGTTAACTCCATATTTAGATCAGCTGTTCCTCGTCCTGCTGTTTCAGTTTTATTTGTGACCGAGAATCAAAGAAATCTGACAGCAGCAAAGCAAAGGTGGCGTCTCCCTGTTTCCCTGTGCATTCTGGGTTTTCTGTGAAGCTGCAGTGATTTTGGGAACAGGAAAGTCGACTGAGCTGGAGGTCGTTCTGGGACATGAACTCGGTTATAGGATACGCGCCTGCTGAGACTTCAGCTGGCTCAGCGTGAGGCACTTTTGCATGTCCCCACCTCAGCTCAGAGAAACGCCGCCATGATTTATAACTCTGATTCCGTCTACGTGTGCGAGTGAACGCCGCTCAGCAGGCGGGAATGTCGTGGAGATGGAGGTGGAGTGGGTTCAGTTGTTCCCCGAGTCACAGAGTGTAAAGAGTGTTTGCATGTCTGCAGGAGTCTCACCCTGGATTCTGCAGGATCATCCCGGACAGACTGTCAGAGGATTTGGACGTGTCGGTCGGGGACAGGCCGCGGGGAGACGGCGGCTCAGCAGAGGAAAGAATGAGACAGGACCATGAAATCAGTGTGACAGTCCCCAGAACCGACAACTGCCTGTTCACTACTTGGACTTCATCTGACATCCAGGAGGATAACTGCAGTTTTAATATCATGCTGCTCTATCGAGAGTTTATACATCAAATGACCAAAATTCATCAGAAATATCTTTGTCTCCATGTTTGCTCATTTGATCAGCAGCGGAAAGAAATATTAAAGCTTTCCCACTAACTGAAAAAAGTCAGCTGAGGCAGAGATTAGGTTCTGTACATTTATGTGAGAGGCTGCTGCTGTTCCAGAGAAACACCCTCAGTTTATCGAAGTTTTCAGAGCTTTAATAACAGAAAAAAACGCCTCTACAGTGGCCAATGATTTACACCCTCACATCAGATATAATGTGTGTTCACTTTGCGGCGCGTTTCATTGTAAACAAAGAACATAAAGCGCAG